GAACTCGGGTTTTCGTGTGTGACTTACCCGTGCGGGTCGCCACGAGTTCGAGGCGGGGTTTGGGGGGCTGCGGGGGGTGGGGGGACTGCGTGTTGGAGTCCCTGGCGATGCGGGTCGCAGTGGCGCGGTCAATCGAGGGAGTCCGGGCTGGGGGGCGTGTGGAAGAATTCCCGGTGGGAGGCAGAGCCCCTTCTAGGGAATTCCCCACCTTTGGGGGGACAGGCTTTCCCCTGGATCCCCTAGCCGGACAGCTCTCCTTGGAAACGGGGAGCTGAAAAGCCCCGGTTCTGCTGTGTCCCTTGGGTATGCCCTTTCGACAGCGAACGCGGGGGTCGGTGGGAGCCCACCGTCTGCTTCAAGGCAGAAAAGACCCGCTGACCGTCGGAGTACACTGCTGCTCTGCCATAGGCCCCCTAGGCGGTGGGCTGTGCCCGACGCGACAGCGCTTCCTTTCTGTTCCACCATCCCAGGTAGCACCGCCCAGGTTCACGGCCCCCCTGTGCTGACCTTGGAGGAGTTGTCCTTAATTTTAGACTTTTGAATGACGCCCCTCCCCAAGTTTTTAAAAGTATAGAACTTGGCCTTTCCACTTGAGTTTATCGTCTGCACACTTCCATATGACAACTTCTTTGTAAACAATTCTTTTATTTTTAAAAAATCATTTTATTGTGGGCTCGTACAACTCTTATCACAATCCATCCATCCACCCATTGTGTCAAGCACATTTGTACATTTGTTGCCCATATCATTCTCAAAACATTTGCTTTCTACTTGAGCTCTTGATATCAGCTCCTCATTTCCCCCCTCCCTCCCTGCCCACCCAATTCTTTTATTAATGACGTAGTATTGGCTACATTAATGGTTCTCAACCTTCCTCATGCAGCGATCCTTTAAGACAGTTCCTCACCGATTACATGGAACTGTGTGTGACCTCCTCCCTGGGGGACAGACAACCGAAAAGTGGATGAAGGGAGACGTCGGACAGGGCAAGATATGACAAAATACCCATTTATAAACTATCAAGGGTTCATGCGGGAGGGGGGAGCGGGGAGGGAGGGGAAAAATTAGGACTCAATGTCGGGGGTTTAAATGGAGAGAAAATGTTTTGAGAAACGATGTACAAATGTGCTTTACACAATTGATGTGTGTATGGATTGGGATAACAGTTGTATGAGCCCCTAATAAAATGTTAAAAAAGGAAAAAAAAAAAAAAAAAGACTATAAATGGCCAATAAATCAGTATGAGATAAAAAAAAAAAAAGACAGTTCCTCATACTGTGGTGACTCCCCCAACCATAACATTATTTTCTTTGCTACTTCATCACTGTCATTTTGCTACTGTTATGAATCGTCATGTAAATATCTGATAGGAAGGATGTATTTTCATTGTTGAAAATTGAACATCATTAAAATAGGATTCATCACAAACAATATATGTAATTACATATTGTGAAATATTTATTTCTAATGACAAATCAATGAAATCTTGTCTTGAAGCATGGGGTAGCATGGGTAACAGTCTTCATGCTGGGGACTCCTATGTGGGGCGTGTCTGCACGTGGGCAGACCCCCCTGGAGACGATAGAGGAGCGGTGTCTCGGTTCCCGAGACCATCGGAAATAGGTGTTTCCCAACAGTCTTAGGCGACCCCTGTGATAGGGGTCGTTTGACCCCCAAAGGGGTCTCTACCCAAAGGTTGAGAACCGCTGGGCTACTTTGTACTATAGGATTTTGACCGGTATCACGTCATATACATATATAAATTTGTAGAGAGCAGGCTACAAATTCTTAATATAGGATTTTCTGGTTTTAGCTTTTGGATATGTTTATTAAGTGGTTAAAAATTATATTTTTCTTGCTTTTGCATACATTCCCTTTCACCATGTAAACTTAAATATCGATGTGAAGAAAAGTAACTACAGTTTCCATCTGGGTTCAATATTTAATTTCCACTATTACTAATACAGTTTTTAGTTAACCACCTCCTACCCCCCGATTTTTAAGGGGAGCAGCCACAAAACCTTTACATTAGGGGTTTAGAGTTAGAAAGGTTTGAGGTTTTATCTCAGTTCAACCACTGGAACATGGAAATGTTTTCTAAACTCTCTGAGTGTCCAATTCCTTGTTTTATAAACAGTGGATTCAGAATGATTTTGTGACCATCAAGTGGAATTATCTACTGAGCATGTCTAGAATAGTGAGTGACATAGAATCTCTTTGATAAATGGGAGTTACTGTTATTTCAATATTTATACTGTTTTAGTGCTTTTGGTATTTTTCTTTTTTAAGTTTATTTTTTAATCATTTTATTAGGGGCTCATACAACTCTTTTTTTAAATTAGGGGCTCATACAACTCTTATCACAATCCATACATACATCGATTGTGTAAAGCACATTTGTACATTCATTGCTCTCATCATTCTCAAAACATTTGCTCTCCACCTAAGCCCCTGGCATCAGTTTCTCATTTTTCCCCTCCCTCCCCGCTCCCCCCAGCTTTTGGTATTTTTCTGTCTTGCCCGTTCAGTGTTCTATTGATAAGCATCATCCCTGTTACATGTAGTTGTAGTGGTTCGTTTTTACGTGTTACATCATTTCATTGGGAATATGGCACAATTTAGGCTCTTTCCTTCTCACTGTTGGAGCATTTCCCACCGGGGGCTTTTATTAACTTTGCTGCTATGAATAATCAAGCTAAGTACACATAGCTTGATAGACTTGTTTATGTAAGGATTATTAGGCTCTATATGTTGCCAGGTTACAGTAGTCAACTTTACTAGTTAATGCCATATTTTTGCGAAAAGAATCCTAATCCACACCAGCACAGTGGTTAAGCGTGTGACTGTTAGCCATATGGTCAGCAGTGCATTATCTCCTCGGTCACTGTGCAGGACAAAGATGTGGCAGTCAACTTCTGTAAAGATTTTTGGCCTTGGAAAACTATGGGGACAGTCCTGCTCTGTCCTACACGTCAGTCAATGAGATGGCAATGAGTTTGTTCTGTTTGTTTTAGTCAGCAGTGTGGATGCTTCCGTGGCCCGAAATCTTGCAGCCCCTTGGTCTTATCAGATCTTTTTAGATTTTTGTCTGATTGATGGAACTGAAGTAGTATCTCATTACAGTTTTACTTTTAGTTTTTTGATTGTCAATAGAATTTAGCTTCTTTCATTACATTTACTGGCCCTTACACTTTTTTTTTTTAATGACATGGCCCACATTTTGGCCCAGTTTTTATTGAACTCTATTAAAAAAAATTAAAATTCATTTGTGACTTTCCAATCTGTTCTGCATCTGATCGCTGGTTGGTAATACTTGTTGCAAATACTTCTGAGGTGTGTTTGTCCACACTTTTTAAAAGATGGTTCTTTATTTTGAGTAATTCTGTTTTTGTTTGTTGCTTCTATACAGAAATACAGAAAATTTAAATGTTGATTTTTGCATCTGGCTATATTCGACTACTTTCTTGTTAGTTTTCATACTATAGCCAAGGAGTCTTTTAAAAAAAATAGTTTTATTGGCATATGCTTCACACACCATACAATTTAATTGTTCATTCTTAGTAAGATTTGTGCAATCATCATGATAATTTCAGAATACTTTCATTGTTAGCGCCCCATCTCCCTCCACCCCCAAATCAGGAGTGGTTTTTTTCCCCCCACTTGGTACACAATTGCAACTCTTGATAATTGTATTTCATCTTTTTCACTCCTTATATCTTTTCTGTTGTTATTCTGGTCTGACAATCGGTATGATGCTAACTGAAATTAATGCTGGTGGACATTCTTTGTTGTTCTTGTTACTGATTTCAAGGGGGTAAAGATGTCAATATTTCATTGTTTAGTGTAGTATTAAGTATATTACCTCTTGGTGGATAAGGACGTTCCTGGCTAGTCTTACTTTGTTCCAAAGGTTTAGTTTTTGTTTGAGTTGTCATTGTCAGTTGACTTTTCTAAAACTTTTGCGATTAATCTTTTTAGTTGATTTAATTCTGTTTACTGAGCTTAAACCTGCACAAGGTCAGTGTGTCTCCATGACTTCGATTTTCGCTCTTTTGTTGCGTTTGCTTTGCCCTGTCATGGTTTCCGCCTGAGATGTGTGTGTAACTTTCCTGTACCAGTGTCAGACTCTCTCTCTTCCAGTTATCATACTAGAACCATTTCTAACATGGTACCGTATTGTGGGGGACCAGCCTCCACCATTGAGTGGGCCCAAGGGGCGGTTGTGTCATTGAGGGGTCAAATTAAAGAGACATTAGACCGGATAAGTCATGCAAGTGTTCACATAAAGAGCGAATATATTTCCAACCAAGGCTTATATGCACTCTAAGAGTGTGCCAGTCCCCTTAATTACAGGTAACTATATGCGTAACAGGAAGGGTTGTGCAATAGGCATACACGTGACAGGAAGGCATACACGTAACAAGATAGCTGGCCTCTGAGTTGGCTTGACCTTAGGAGTCTTTGGGCTCTCTTTCAGGGGAACCATCCATTATCCTTATCAGAAGGGAGTGAGCCTTACTTAGGGTGGGACAGACAGTAGGGCCTGATTGCCTTAGATGGCTGACAACCTTCAGGCAGAGAACCTTGAAGCAGTTGACCTCCACATGTATAGTCAGTGGCCATGTGCTTGCAAACAGCACCTTAGATTTGTCATATATTACGGAGGGACATCCTGGGTTATACGTTTTCTGTTTCTTACACCGTATGTACCATTGAAATCCCAGATTATAAATATGGTCAAGGAATAAAATTTTAATTTAGATTCATACTACTAACAGAGTTATTTGTCCACAAATATTCTCAACATATGCTGTGTTTTCACACAATAATCACTAATACCTTTTACACTTGTCTACTAACTGCTCCCTCTCCCCCAGAGCTGTTTTTATTAATTCACTGTATAACTAATTTTTTTTTTTGGCAACAAAAACAAGGGGGTTGGGAACTGAAGCAAGTCTATTATCTAAATGAATATTCCCCTTAAATCCATAGGTCTTGACTTAATGGAACAAGACCAGAACAAGGTGAGGTCTCAGAGAAAGTGTGCCTTGTTGCTGGTCTTCCCTTGGCCAAAGAGCTCTTACTGTGACTCAGGGCACAACTAGGACACTTAACTGAGTTGGGGTCACTGCCCATTTCCCGAGAACAGCAGAAAATGACGAAGTCTCAGGTAAGCTGCTTTTTTCCCTACTTGAATTTCCGGTGGGTTAGAGGAGGCGGTGAACAGTATAAAGCACAGAACAGTCAAGTGGCCTAGGAAAAAAGGTACAAGGTTAAAGACCCAACTTAGTTGGAGAATGGACGTCTATACAAATCATGGGTCATAATGAAATTGGCCTGCTGATTTTTCTCTTAACTCCCCAAGGGGGGGTGGTTGTCAAAATCAACAGCTGGGTCCTATAAAGCTGAGGCCAGATGTGCCTCCACACTTGAACCTTTCTCAGCAATCCTGACACCAACTGTCTCCCCCTTGACATTCCGTTTCTCTGCTGGGTTCAGTGATTCTTTGCAGAATCACAGTCATCATTATCAAGTGTGTTAGGGAGGCAATTAGAAGCAGGTGTGACTCAGGAGCCGGTTCTTCAGTATGGATCATCTCTTCTTGCTCTCTGCTGCTGGCCCTGCTCAAGGCCTTCTCCGGCTCATGGAACAGAGCTCGTTAGTGCCACTGATCAGTGCCCGGAGGTACCCCATTCTACTAGTAAACCTTGGCCAAAGGCACTCAGGTCTTTAGCTTTGTGTGTTGGAAAGCCTGTCGTAGGCAATAGGTCCCCCAAGGGGCCTCATTCTGCCAGGTCAGCAAGCCTCCTGTCTGATGGCATTGAGCATTAGCACTCTGGTCTCCTACCAGTGTCCTGGTTCTTCTGCGAGCTCTCTGCCGCATACCACTTCTTGGAGTTTGACCGTCTCTGGTGGTGTAGCTCTCATCTTTTGGGCATAGGAGGATCTCTGTGTAAGGACCCCTGGTTCAAAGGAGCTCTTCTCTCTTGGTGGCAATGAAGTCCATCTGCCTGCTGCCGGGATGGCTCCTTGAGCTTAATGGGATGACAAAAGGACCAGTCCCCGTATTAGGGACCCATGCATCTTATTTGCATGGTTGTACCCCAGTAAGAGTGCCATGAACTATATTTGCATTATTGTCGGGGTGAGGGGGCCCCAACACTCAAACAGGTCCTCAGGAGTGACTTAAATTGTGAAAACTATTAAAGAGTGAGAGAGAGCATGTATTTGCCAATGGGTATATATAATGGGGCTTACAGCTAATTCATAAGGCACACCCATCATAGAGCTAACATATATTATCAATAGGCGATATCAGAAGTGGGTAACATACCATATATACTTATGTATAAGCCGAGTTTTTCAGCACATTTTTAATGCACTTTTTGTGGTAAAATTAGGTGCCCCAGCTGATATTGGGATTGGCTTATACTCGAGTATATACGGTAATAAACCAGCAATGGGATGAGTCTTTGTCTTGACCTAGTGCTAGTTGACCTCAATCCCCCTTGAGTCCTCCCCAACTCAAGATGTCAGCAAGAGATGTCAAAACAGAGTTTGCTCCATGATGGTGGGTTGGCTATCGAACCTGATTGCTGTTATCTACAGATCACCTTTAGGCATGGTGAAGTAGCCAGACCCAGAAATGATGCAACTTATATGGTAGCTCCTCTATGACACTTATTTTAGAGGGTGTGTGTGTGTGTGTGTGTGTGATTGGAGGGACTGTGTCTAGTCATGAGCATGTATATTAAGATTTATTTACATCTCGTAACCGTGTGTGCCTTCCCCCACCAGCGTCGACTTTCCAGACCTGTAATTCTGAGCATGGGCGATTGAGCTGCAATCTGTTCTCATGCAGCCCCGCACTTGGCCACACGTTATGAGTAAGCGGTCTAATCCCCTTGGTGGGCCTCGGCAAGCCTAGTCTCACCAGTCATTTGGTGAGCGTGCCATGGTTCTATTTGCTGCAGCTGTTGGGTGTTGTCCAGTCACTTGCCGCTCACAGAGCTCCTCCATGTACAACAGAAGGAAGCACGGCCTGGCCCTTCAGCCCCTCACAATTGCTCTGGTTGAGCCCATGGTCACAACCACTGTGCCACTCCATCTTGTTGAGGGTCTTCCACTGGCCCACTTTACCGAGAATAATGTCCTTTTCCAGAGACTGGCCTACCCTGATAACATATCCAAAATACACGCCCTATGAAGTATCACCATTCTTGCTTCTAAGGAGCATTTTGGCTGTATTCTTCTAAGACAGATTTGTTTGTTCTTTCTAGCAGTCTATGGGACATTCTGATATTCTTCATCATATTAAGTGATTCAATGACGTAATGCAATTCGACTCCTTGGCTGTTCTAGCCATTGCCCTTTTCATACTTAAAGGGCTAACTTCCTCCTCCCAGTCATTTCACTATTCTTAAACAGATCGCTGGTGGTGGTGTGGGTTAGATACCAGGCTGCTAATTGCCAGGTTGGTGGTTCGAAACCTCTATTCCCCCACAGGAGAGAGGTGAGGATGTCTGTTCTTGGAAAGATTTACAGGTTTGAGGGTTGCTGCAAGTTGGAATCTATTTGATAATTTTTTCCTTCTTTTTTCATAAATAGTCACTCACTGTCAGAGGAAACCAGCCTCCAACAGCGGAAAGGCCAGAAGACACAAATGTACGGCGATGGTATAGAAATGATAGTACAGTCCTAGAGGATAAGAAAGATAGGACAGACAGTAAAACAAAGGAGTCAGACACATTGTATGGTCGCATGCTCACCTCAGCTCCTCTTGATGGACCACGTGGAACTGGGAAAAGTGAGAGTGAGCCTTTACTCTCTTGGGACATTTGCAGGTAGCCTTAAAACATGCATCTTCAGTAGTTACATGTGTTACAGGGTGGGCGGTATCTACACACAGGTGAGGAAACCTAATAGCTGCATTGGGGGGAAGGTATGTGGGGGGTTGGGTGACACAATGGGAAGAGAGAGCAAAAGGATCATGTCTACTTCTCTAGGAAGATAGAATCAACCATGTGCTCACTTTAAGGCAGCATAGCTGTTCAGGGGAGAATCTGTGGGAATGCTATTTAAAGCAGGATCATGTACTTGGGCTTTATCCATAACTTACCCAAGTGGAGGCTTTTCCACCATGGAATACCAGCTTTCCAGATCCCCTGTGTGATAAGTTAGGGGATATAGTCCTCAATCTATTTCCCTCAGTGTTAGTTTCCCACAACAATTAACCCTGAAGTTCGGCAGAGTCTTCAGGGCAAAGTTAATCAGACCAGCCATTCAAATTTGTTGCAAGTGTCCACCTAATCTGGTCAAGCTCTCAAAAAACTTGTTTTATCTTTACTCTCTCGGGTGTTAATAAAATTTAACTGACAGAAGATTATTTTCCAACTCTGGGTCTCATGAAATGTCAGAATAGCAGAGTCTTTAAGGGGCTCTAAGTTTAGCCACTGTAATCCAGTTCACCTGTGCCCCCCCAGTCCACTCTTTCATAGTTACAGATTCTTTTTTTTAGCCACAGTATCTCCAATTTGTTTTTATAATCACAAGTAACCCTGTTAATTATCAGCATTCAAAGCAGAATCATATATCCAGTGGTTCTCAACTTTCCTAATGCCGTGACCCTTTAATACAGTTCCTCGTGTGGTGGTGACCCCAACCATAAGATTATTGTTGTTGCTCCTTCATCACTGTCATTTTGCTACTGTGATGAATTGGGCGACCCCTGTGAAAGGGTCATTCAATCCCCAAAGGGGTCATGACCCGCAGATTGAGAACCTCTGGTCTAGAGGGTGGAGGCATGTATTTAAGGTCTGACTGTTTCATAAACTCAACCTTGAGCAACGAATGCTTAAAAACTTCCTTATTTGGTGTCGAGAATGCCACCCTACTTTGGGTTTTCTTTTCAAGCTCATTGGCCACATACAGGATTCAATTTATCTTTGTCAAGTTTATCTTATTTCTACTCATCCTCTAATCTTAATTCTTGGAATGTCTCATGACTCATCCGTGGCATCACTGATCTTTTCCATCTATATTCACTCCCTGCATGCTCACATCTAGTGTGACAGGCTTAACCACCGTCCATTAGCTGATGACTTCTCCTTATATCTGCCTCCTAGACCTGTTCCCTGAAGTTCACATTATGTATTTCACTGCCTTCTTGACATCACTTAGTTATATTACCACATACACTCGTGTATAAGCTGAGATTTTCCGCACATTTTTAACGCAGATTTTGTGGTAAATTAGGTGCCTTGGGTGATATTCTGGTTGGCTTATACTCGAGTATATACGGTATATCTCTACAGATGTGTCCAAGGTACTATTTCTTTTTTTTTTTTTTTTGGTACTATTTCTTAAACCAAGATCCTGATCTCATCTCCAGCCTGTTTCTTCCATAGTTACATATGAACAGATAGGGTTCATATTCAGGTCAGTTAGTTAAATGTTTATCTTCATATACAATATACCTCTATATGCATTAAAAAAAAAAAATCACGTCCAGACATTCTAAAACATCTATGACATAATAGTATATTTAGTTGCATAGTCCTACCCAGCTCTTGGTAGGAGTTACAAAGACTTTAATTAGAAGAATCAAATAATTCGCTGCACTACACGTCTCTCACTTATTTCAGGGCAAACTTTTTCAGTAATTCACTTAGTATTTATCTTAAATTTTAAGTGGTATTTTATTTCAGATTAAGTAAGGTTCTTTATACAGGTAATCCCCTGGATTATGATTGAGTTCTGTACCTAAGTCTTTCTTTAAGCTGAGTTTGTACATAATTAAGTACAGATAGAATTTATATTTCATGTCAGTCAAATGTTTGTCTTAGTATGTAATAGATAATGTACTCTCAAATGCATTAAAAAAGTAAGGAAACCCTTTTAGCCATTCTAAAACATCTATAACTGTGGGGGACCAGCCTCCCCACAACCAAGTGGGTCTAAGGGGCAGTTCTGTAATTAAAGGGGTGAATTAAAGAGACATCAGACAAGATAAAGCATGCAAGGGCTCACCTCTGTCATAACTTCATAAGCCAGATCCAAGCAGAGGAAGCAAGTACTGTTAATCTCACGAGTTACCTAATCTGGGGCACGCAGGCCACGGTAAGCACTAAGCACATACATAACAGGAAGGGGTTGTACAATAGACATACACGTAACAGGAGGGGGATGAGCTAGGGGTGTGCACACAATAGGAAGAGGAGACACTAGGGGCACACGTGACAGGAAGGCATATATGTAACAAAATAAGCGGGTTCTAGAGTCAAGATGGCAGCTAACCTTGGTCGTCCCTGAGTTGGTTTGACCTTAGGAGTCTTTGGGCTCTCCTTCAGGGGAACAGTGCATTATCCTTATCAGCATGGAGTGGGTCCTACTTAGGGACAGACAAAAGGGTCTGATTGCCTTAGATGGCTCACAACTTTCAGGTAGATAACCTTCAAGCAGTTGACCTCCAAGTGTATATAGTGGCAGCCATGTGCTTGTAAGTAGCACCTTAAAGGTTGGCATTATTATGGGGGGACATTGTGGGGAATAACTTTTACTTATGTGAATGTGAGTGGGAGGCATCTCCAACTCACGAACGTGAAGGTTTCCTCCACGGGGAGCCTTGGCCTCCCAGTGTCCTTAATGTATGAATGTTGAGAGTTTGCCTGCAAACACTCTCTTCTCAGTTTTCAGATTCCCACATATAACATAATAGTATATTAATAGTACTAATGATGTTTTGATACATATTGCAAAGTAGTACCCATTTGTTATTATGAACTATTGTCTGTACCTGAAGTTTTGACATATACCACCAGATGTTTGTAACTGGGAATGGCCTGTATTCCTAATTTGCTGAGTTATTATTATTAAAGGGTGCTTTATATTTGTTTTTTCCGGATGTTTTGTTATTAAAATTTATAGATGTACAGAAAAGTTGAGTTTTACAGTGAAGACACATGTATTTATTGACTGGATTATGTAACTAATATTTTAATATAGTTGTCTTATCACATACCTCTCCATCTAGACATAATTTGTTTCATCTTATTTTTGATGCTTTTCTAAGTAAGTTGTAAACATCAATGCATCCCCCAAATACTTCAGCATGCGTATCATTAAGTAGAATTTACTATGTTTTTACTTTATTTATTTAATGTAAAATTTATATACAATTAAATACATAAATCTTAATGTATCATCCAATGGTTTTGAACTATGTATAACTTGTGTTACCTGCTTTTCATGTATCCGTTTTCATGATTATGTGATTTTTAACCTGTTCATATGGTAAATTACATTGGTGGCTTTTTAAGTGATAAGATTTTTAATGAGCTTTAAGTTTCTACCACGAGATAGACTCATCAAAAATTTATGTAAGATTTCTTATTTGAAAATGATAAGTTCTTGTGTATCTTTTTCATGTCACTGAATGAAAATCACTTGAATTTAAACAAGAACATGCCCTTGCAGGTAGCATTGTTATTCAAGGATGTTGCCGTGTACTTCACCTTGGAGGAATGGCAGCTGCTGGACTCTGCTCAGAAGGACCTGTATTGTGATGTGATGTTGGAAAATTATAGCAACCTGGTATCAGTGGGTAAGGACAGCTTTCCTGTAGAACCCTCGATTAACTGCCAGTCTAATGTATCTTCTTTATCAATGACTATCATTTGTAAGTCCTCCGAAGTATTTCGAACTTGCAATTTATAAACGATCAACTCTGAACTCAGAGGGTCATGCTCTCACCTCCTAAGTGAAAGTTGTTCATGTTGCTGAAGTGCAAAGCCTCAAATACACCTTTCTCAGCTCTTCAAAGGCCCTGAAGACCAAGGTTTTAGACCAAGGTCTCAGACCCAGGTTTACCCATATACTGGTTATTATGTTTTCAGATTAGAATCAATCTTTCCAATGTATTAAGAAGATTCATAGACTGTAAAGGTCGGAACCAAGAGAGCAGTCTGAGTGAGTGAAAACCAGGTAGGTGGGTGAGAGTAGAAAAGTTTAGAACCCCTGATATGCTGTTTTTTACATTTTTACTTTAAAATACTTGGACCTTTAAAGATGAACACAAAGACATTCTTAGATATGTCTTTAAGAGTACTTTCTCTCATTACCTTTTTCAGAGTAAGATTCAACTTTGATATATAGACACTGTGGCCTTTAAATCTACACATTGTGCATTGCATTAGATCGCTAAATCTGAACCAGCACCTTATGTTCTAGGTTCCTCTCTCTCTCTCTCTCTCTGGTATATTATTCCCTCTATCCATACTGCATGCCACCTTTATTCACACAACAGTTCACCTATGGATAAAGTTATGCTTTCGAATAGTCATAATTTTCCCTCCTTGCTCCTGTTTTGTATGACTTCTATGCCCCGCTATATCAGTTCTGTTTTCTCCTGCTTAAAATCTCCAGTTTGTAGTCTGTATCCAGAATGTTATTTCTCTCCTTTGTTCCTGTTTTGAGAGTGCTTCCCTTTCAGCATTCCTTTTCAGTTATGTAAGGATTTATTGGTCTCCTTCCTAGAAGAATCCTGGCAAATTAATCATCCCACTCGGCACCAGGAAAACATTGACAAGCTTGACCCTATGGAGCGACAGCAGGAATGTGATGTGCTTGGAAAAATATTTCATCTGAGGAAAAACTTGGATAAATTTCATTCATACAGAAAAACCTTTAAACATAATTTTAATTTGCTGTTCAATAGCACACATTTTGTCACTAAGAAAACTAAAGAATTAAATGTACCTGAGAAATTATTTCTTTGTACTACCCATGAAAACATTCACCCTGGAGCTAATTGCAATGCTTGTAGACGAGCTGCCAGTAAAAAGCCACGCCTCAACACAAATCGTAGAGAAATGAAATTTTACAAATGCAGTGAATGTCAGAGATGCTGTAACCATGTGTCACAGCTCCTTCTACACCAGAGGATTCACACACGAGAGAAATCCTTCAGGTGCATTGAATGTAGGAAAGCTTTTGTGTGGAAAAGTCACCTCATTTTACACCAGAGAACTCACACAGGAGAGAAACCTTTTGGATGTAATGAATGCGGAAGACTCTTCTCACAGAAATCACAGCTTATTGTACATCAGAGAACTCACACAGGAGAGAAAACTTATGAATGTGGTAACTGTCCCAAAGCTTTTATTCGGAAGGCCGACCTTATTTTACACCAGCGAACTCACACAGGAGAGAAACCGTATGAGTGCCGAGAATGTCAAAAAGCCTTTAGTAGTAAGTCTCAACTCACTATACACCAGAGACGTCATACAGGAGAGAAACCCTATGAGTGCAGCGAATGTGGGAGAACGTTCCCCCATAAATCCAGTCTAATTTTACATCGGAGAACTCACACAAGAGAAAAACCCTATAAATGCAATGCCTGCCAGAAAACCTTCATCAGTAGGGCGCATCTCATTAAACATGAGAAAACTCACACAGGCGAGAAACCCTATGGATGTGATGAATGTGGGAAAACTTTCTCTCTCAAATTTAATCTCACATTACACCAGAGAATGCATACAGGGGAAAAGCCCAACCAATGTAGTCACTGTCGGAAAGCTTTCATTCGGAAGTCCCAGCTCATTGAGCATCAGAGGACTCACACAGGAGAGAAACCCTTCGCATGCCAAACGTGTCAAAAAGCTTTCACCCGGAAGTCAGAGCTCCTTTTCCATCAGAAAATTCACACAGGAGAGAAACCGTATGAATGCAGTCAATGTCAGAAGGCTTTCATGAGACAGTCAGAACTCATTTTACATCAGAGGATACATACAGGAGAGAAACCTTATGAGTGCAATCAATGCCAGAAAGCCTTCAGAACAAAGTCCCAACTCAACATACACCAGAGGACACACACAGGAGAGAAGCCCTACAGATGCACTGACTGTGGGAAAGTCTTCACACAGAAGTCGCAGCTTGTTGTGCATCAGAGAACTCACACAGGAGAGAAACCGTATGAATGCAGCCAGTGTCAGAAAGCCTTTAGCACCAAGTCCCTACTCACCATACACCAGAGAACTCACACAGGAGAGAAGCCCTACAGATGCAGTGACTGTGGGAAAGTCTTCACACAGAAGTCGCAGCTTGTTGCGCATCAGAGAACGCACACAGGAGAGAAACCATATGAATGCGGTGATTGTCAGAAAGCTTTCAGCCGTAAGTCACCCCTCATTATACACCAGAGAACCCACACGGGAGAAAACCCCTATGTTTGTAGTGAATGTGGGAAAGGTTTCACCTGGAAGCCTGGCCTCAGGAGACATCAGAGGACCCATAAAGAAGAGAAGCATTATGAATGCACTGAATGTGGGACATCTTTTAGTGTCAAGGCACACCTCGGTGCACATCAAAAAACCCATATAAGCAAGAAATCATATGAATATAGGAAAATAGGAAAGCATTTAGGGAGATCGTTTCATCATGAGAGCACAGCTGTGTAAGAGAAATTGTTTATATCCAGTAGTTGAATAAAAATAATCATCTGGTCAGGGTTAGAGAACTAAAATGAGAGAAGCCTAACCTAATGCAGATAATAAATTAGATAAAACGTCACAGTACGTGCCAACCCCCAGCCAGTCCTGGGGCTTTGGGGCTCGGCTCAAGGGGAGTCCCTCTGGGACATGAGGGCGCAGTGAGTGGTGTAACCCTTTGCTGGACATGCCTACAGAGTAGGGTACGCTGGGCCCCTCTAGGGTTTCCTGTATGGGCTCCAATCAATTTCTTCCCTTTTTCTTAAAAAAAAAAAAAAAGTAACAGTAAGCAGTAGGTTGCAGTTCATTGTTTATCAGGACAATACATCTATGAAAGAGATCTTGTGAGTACAGCATGTATGACTGTTTTTACACAGATGTCAAAGCTTATATTGCAGACAACCACTATAAATGTTGCAATTTTATGAAAACTTCCCTAAAAATGTATAATATTTTATAGCAGAGGAACATATATGGGAAAGGAACTATTCACATGAAGTGAATGCTGGGATATTTTTATTCATTAATCTCTACTGCTCCAGAGAATTTACACCTGAGTGATGAGTAATGAGAATAAAACTTCATTAAAAGTTACACGCAAAAAGGTATTAGAAAACTTACATTTTTTAAAATTATGGAAAAGGTATGTTTAACAGATAATGCACATATAAATGAATGTGGGGATGATTGTACCTGTTATTTAGGAAACATTGACAGGTCATTGAATTATGGAGAGGATTTCTAGAAATAATTTTGTAAGAATAAGTCATATTCTTGTGAATATCATGTTTATAAAAGAAGTCTTACAGAAGAAGAAAAGAAAGAAAATATTACAATATACTTTCAAGATGAAGAAGAGACAGTTCTGCCATGGAATATGAAACTTGTAATGTCTGTGAGTAAATTAAGTAATCAAGACAAATAATGAAGTTATCCAAACAATTTCATCTGCATCGGGGTTGTGCTTTTAGTGTGTCTTCTACCAGAAATGTTGTGGCCTTTACAGCTTTGTATGTAAATATAATTATAGGTATATGAAATGAATATATGTTATTAGGATTAATTTTAAAATAACAGAAAAGTTGCAAGAATCGTACAAAGAATGCTGTATACACTTCATCCAGATTCCTCAATTGTTAATATTTTCCTCACTTGCTTTAGTATAGTGTCTATCTCATTATATATACATGTATTATTTTATTTCTTTGAACCATTCGAGAGTAAATTTCAGGCATGAATTTCTTCTTTACTCCTACTTGCTTTAATGTATATTATATTAACTTATGTAAGAAATAGCACCTGCAACCTTCTCTTTCATAAACACACTACAACTCTTAAAATCAGGACTATTTTTTTTTAATCATAGGAAAATCAGGAATGTTGATTCAACACTATACTCTATAGAATTTACTCATTAGTTATCAGTTATATTCTTTGCAGCTAAGAAAAATATAATAGAGCTTATATATGATCCAAAACAATGTTTTGTGTATAACTGTCATATTTCTTTGATCTCTAAATCGGTAGTTCTTCAGTCTTTGTTTTTTATTGAAGAGTAAAGGCCAGTGACTCAAAACTTGAGTTTTCCTAATGTCTTTTCATGATTGAAAGTGTGTTTGTGGCAGAGTGACTCGCTCCGTGCGCGACACTGTCTTCAGTGTGTTGCGTCAGGAGGCAGATGGTCTTGGTTTGCCCCTTTGCTCATAGGATGAAGTCTTGCCAGTTTTTAGGGTGTTTCTTGGCTGGTTTCTCCACTAGTCATCTCTTTTCCCCTCTGAAATCAATAAGCAATTTGTACAGAGATAACTTGGGATTATGTAAATATCCTGTTCTTCATCAAATGTCCACTCATTATATTCTTTTCATTAGTTTTGGCAGCCAGTTATTATTATCTGAATCATGTTCTGTGATGGCTGCACACGTCATGGTTTTTGTTTTTTAAAATTTATTTAGTATTGAGTATTTACTGTAAGGAACTTTGTTTATCACCTATTTATTTGTTTCTTTGTCAGTCTCCATTCAAGGATTTCTATGTTGTACACTGGTTTATGTTCTGTTAATCTCCTTGTTTATTATGTGTTTGTATATTCTCAGATTTCACTAGTACAACCCCTCCAAATTGACTCCTGTGTCTTTTTTGTCATGTTTGCCCCATTTTCAAGTACTTCTCTCTGGCTCAAAGATATTGTTCAATATTACCTCTAAATTTTTTTGTTAAAATTGAACAATTTTACTTACATCCAAGGATAGCTAAGTATTTTATATGTGCAAATCGCCCAGCACTCATTAATGGAACACTGTACAGCAGTGAAGGAACCCTGGTGGTGTAGTGAGTAAGCACTTCACAGTTAACCCAAATGATGGCAGTGTGAATCCACCCATTCCAGGTCAAAGATCTGGTCATATGATCCTGAAGGATTACACTCAGGGAATTCCTATGTGGCAGTTCTATATTCATCAGTATGGCTGAATCTCGCACAAATCCCTTTAAATATCACAATGAAATATAAAAGTATAATATTAAAATATTATAAAAAGCAAATACCTGGTAGATTCATATACAACAAACCCACGAAGAAAAGTAAATGCTAAATGCAAAAGACAGGGCAAAAAAGAAGCCTTCAACAGCGTTGAGAATGTTTTCAATGTTAAACCTGATGGAGATACGTCTTCACTCTGTTATTAGTTATATCCTACATATATGTTATATGTTCCTTTGTATGAAGTATAATTTCAGAAATTACTACTGGCTAAAAAATATCAATGCATAGGGTTTTTGAGTTCATTTGGATACCTATTTATGGAAAATTGTGTGTAAGTTAAGTATTTGGAGTCAAGGAGCCAGTCGTATTTGAACAGTAGGATTTTATGGTATTTTTGCATTGTTTTTCATCCTGTTAGGATTTAATGAGTTATCTGAAAACAAAATCGGGATAACTGTATTACCCTAGTAAAATCTTAAATACTGTATGTTGAGATTTTAGAACAATAAGGAATGACTTACCTTAATTTTCTTTCACTGCAAAGTTCTACATGCACCGCCATTTGAAACCCTATTTAAAAAATTACTATTTTAAAGGACCAGTGTTTCTTTCATGTAGTGCTATAACATCAGTGTAAGAGAAATCTATTTTTGAAAAAAAATGAATGTGCAAATTATGTCTCCCATTGTCTGAACATTAGATTTGTCCCCTCTCAGTTTATTTGACTGCCAAACCCTTTTGTAAAAAACACTATCTTCAGTGAAATGAGCCAGTCACAAAGGGATAAATATTGTACAGTTTTACTTATTTAAAATATGTTAGGCAAGTATATAGAGACAAAAGTTTTTTGTGAATACCAGGAACAAAAGATAGGTAGAAAGGGGAAAGGGGATAATGAATTTTTGTTAAAGGTCATGGGAAATTTGGGGAATAGAAAATAGTAATAGTTGAACCACATGATAAACATAACTAATGTCTCTGAACTAAGTAAACTAAGAATGTTGGTCTTCTAACTTGAAAATACTCCAGAGGCCACCTTCAGCCAAAATGAAACGGAATGAAGAATGTGCTTAGAACAGTCAACTGCACAAGACCCAAAGGACAGCATTCACCCAAAGCCCAAGGTGAAAAGATAGAAAGGGACATGGGAGCCAGACAAGTGGGAGTGGGGAGCCCAGGGAGGAAATGCAATCGCTGACACTTTGCAGGGATTGCAGCCAGTGTCTTGGAACAATTTGCATATGAATTGTTGATTAGAAAACTAATATGTAAAAAAAACAAAAAAACAAAACTAATATGTAAACATTCACCCAAAACACAATAAAATGTTCCAAAAAATGTTCAACTGGCAACTTTCATATATATTACCATAATTAGGGGAAAATCCTACCTTTTCTTGAATTTTGAGTACATTAAGAGAATATTAACCGTGATATGAGTTTATAAAAATTTGGACTTATTTATTAAAAAATGACCTAGGAAGTGGTGTCTTCTGGAAGAATTTATCTACTGTTTGTGTTTATTTCTTCCATAAATACTTGATAGAATCCGCAGGTGGGACAATATTGTCAGGTGCCATCAAGTTCTGACTCATAGAGAGACACCTTGTACAACGGACCAAAATGTTCTTATGAGGGAGAAGTCAGACACACATTCTTTCAACCTTTGTATCAATTCCGACACTAGTGCCTCCCACGGCACTTTCTACTTACCTTTTAAGTTTGACTAAGAGCTGACTTAAGATGGTGGCATTTATTAGGATTTACAAAATTTTATTATTAGTGCAATAGAAAGTCATTGGAAGGTATTAATCAAAGGAGAGACATTATTTATGATTTAAAAATTCGTTAGCCACCGTGTGAAGAATGTATTGCTACAGAGCACAAGTCAAAGCAGAAAGAACAATTAGGAGATGAGGAAGCTGTTTCCATGGTGATGGTTGGACTGATGGGGTAGTAACAGCGATGGGAAAAGATGCACAAATCTGGTCCACGTTGGTGAAACTTGAGTCAGTGGAGTTGGGTGATGGGTTAGTAGATGCAGTGAGTTGCTTAATATGGCCCTTCTAGTCTATGTGATGTCATTTTAAGACAGAACTAACTTCCAAAGGCTCTGTACAAGATGATGGGGACAAGAGCCTTTTTTTTTTTTTAAGATCATTTTATTGGGGGCTTGTGTTAGTCTGGGTACTTTAGAGAAAAAATCCACAGAAACTCATGTATAAGAGCACATCAAGAAAACATCCCAACCCAGTGCTGCCCAAGCCCACAAGTCCAATATTAACTCATTAACCCATATGTCCAACACCAGTCCACAAAGTCCTCTTCCATCTCACAAAACACATGCAACGATGCCAACTGCAGGAGTCAGTGACCGTGTAAGCATCTCAGCGCTGGCAGTGCTGCGCCAGCACCCAAGGCTGCATCGGGGTAGGTCCATCTTGCAGGGAGTAAGCCTTGTCCGCTAAAACAGGGAACTGGCAAAGGCAGGTGCACCCTGGTCTAACCATCACAAAGCAAGAGACCCAAGAACTAGAAAAGCAAGGCTCACTAAGCCATTTATCTCTCCGCCCTTCAATTAACCCCACATGTGTTTATCGGCCAGGTTGGCACTATAACCTTTAACTATCTCAGGGCTCTTATAACAATCCATACAGCAGTCAAGAGCCTTTCTGGCAACATTTATTTTGCTAGCAGTACTTCCGCTCACTCAAGTTTCTAGTGACTGTTGCATCAGTCTCTTATGTAAAAGAGTGGTTCTTAGATGTGAGGAAGAAAGCTATATCTGTATCTAGGTTGAGAACACAGATATGTGGGATCCAGCCCATATCCAGATGGGCCCTATGGGATGGTTTTGTCGTTGAGGGGAAGAAATGAAGAGACCGATGGAAGTTTTGGGGTCCTCACCTCCGCCATGGCTTCAGGAACCAGGTTCGAGCAGGAGGGAGAATGCCTTTTGACACCAACTTATATCGTCTTGGAGCATGCAAGGCCCCGTAATTACAGGCAACCACATATGTATCAAAGTGGGCAGTGTCTTAACCCTAGAGGTCCCAGAGTAACCTATTAAGGGGAGTGACCGTCCCCTGAGAGGTGAGAGCAATAGCAACATGTCTGCTCCTATAGATAAAGCTGCAGGTCAGGTAGCAACAGCCACATGCTTGTAAGAGGTATCATTAAGGCAGCACAGTGACAGGAGGATATTGTGGGGATGATTTTTAATTAGGAGAATGTGATGGGGACTTTTCAACTCACAAATGTTAATGCCTCCCTCCACTCAGCATCCTGGTCTTCCAGGTTTCTTTAATTCTGAGAAGTAGAAAATTTGTCCACATATACACTCTTCCCCGGCCTCAGTTTTCCACACAAATAGATCATTACAGTTGTCTACATCGAAGAACAATTGGTCTTTTACATCTGTTTTTCCTAAGTCCGGTATGTGGAGCCCTGGTGGCATAATGGTTACAAGTTGAGCTGCTATCGACAAGGTCAGCAGTTTGAAACCACCGGTGGCTCCTCCCCAGAAAGAGGCTTCCTCCTCCCGTAGAGTTGCAGAAACCCACGGGGGCAGTTCCTCCACCCTGTTCTATAGGGGCTCTATGGGCTCTATGTCTTGACTCAGTGACAGTGAGTTTTAGGTTCAGTATAAGCTCATACTTCATTCTCTCATGGAAGATTCCATATTGATTCAACTGAATCTGATGGTACATCATAATTACCAAGGAAATGTGTGAATGGTTTTCTGCGTTTTGACCAGACTTTATGAATCAGCCAGCAGCCAGCCATCAATCCCCTAAGGTGATTCTGATGGATCCAGGTGTAGACCTGCTTCTGCAGGCCTTAACTAGATGGTATGTGGAGCAGGGCGAGGTCTAAATGGGACTGGGAGGGGAGGAGGGGGCATGATTGAGCAAGAGGAAAGTTATGAAACGTTTACACAGATTTTTCTTCTGACCAGTAGCATGGCCACCCGGGGTGGGGAGAGAGACAGTCTCTGGAGTGTGCATTCTGGAAGGAAGGGTTAAAGGGTTAAAGCAAACAACAAAGAGTTCTTGTTCAGATGCCCTCTGGGAGCCCTGAGGCATTAAACCCAAACCCAAACCAGCTGTCCTTTAAGTGGACTCCCAGGTCCGTGATCTGTGGCCACAAGAGGGAGCCCGAGCCCTACGGATTTGAACCGTCTACAGACTGAGTCCCCAGCCAGTCTTTGCAACCTTGTAGACAGCTGCTGCTTTTTGACCCTCCAGGTCAGGAGGGTCCACTTTTAGAGAATGGTGACACCTGTAGGTATGGGTTGCCCTTGCCCTTGTTGAAATGGTTTAAATCCAGAAAGGGTGAAGCTTTCCTGTTATAAAGGGAAAGGCGCTTACATTTGATTTACTTTTTTTTTTAATTAGTTGGGATTTAACACCTATAACATATTCCCTATTTCATGCACATCAAGTAGAATTGTACAATTGCTACCACCATCAGCTTCCAATCATTTTTCTACGTGGATCACCACCTAACTTTTAAAATGTAGAGTATAACAAGCCTGCGGGGGTGGGGGTTGGGGGGTGAGGCGGCGGGGCGAAAATACACACGACGAATGATACATTTTGGTAATCAGTGCACCCACACCCAAGTAAAGAACTATTCCAA